GCGAGTTGTGATGATGATGCCATTATGTTTGCATTGAGGTGTGTGCGATAGTTTACTCGAATTTGTCTTGTTGACGAGGATTGGGTATTGCTCTAGGATACTAAATGAGAGAGCTGTTGTGTAAAGTCAAAATAATGGATGTTTATATGGATAGGTGAAAAGAAAGCCGCCGCCAAAACTGTCGTCTTGTGCACAAGCAGTATGAATGTGGATTGGATGATCCGACATAAATGAATATATTTGTTACTGCATCATCGTTTATTATGGCCAATAAAAGTGTCATCTTGAACCACATAACCTCTTTCATATTGCTCTCAATGTGCTGCGATTTGATGTTACTCGTTCATCTTCCTTCTCTTTTCTATTCATCCCATTCGAATGCACAAAGATTTGTTATTATCACAGTTTACATACACATACTCACTTTATATAAGATTAACGCGAATATGAGTGTGACCTGGAAGACGAGTTCGGTGTAATTGTAGCTTGGAGCTGATGCTTTTGAATGGCAATAATTCATCACTTCTAAAGACAACATTTTATGGGTTGTTTCATCCAACATATACATTACAACTGAATATATTTTCACACATTGCAGTCGTATCATATTGCAGTCTTTTGATTAGCGATTCACGCAAGAATGTCATTTGAGGACAGAGCTATTGAGCAGGTTTTTTAGATAAATAATCTTTTCTTCAATATGCGATCGATGACAATGGGGATCTGGGGCTTTGATATTACGATACATCTAGCAACCATGATCTGAAACTGAAGGATACAAACGCGTGGGCTGCAATGTTATCAGTGAGCATGCTTGCGAATGATTTACAGTTAGAAAAGTGCAGTAGCATTGGTATATTTGTTTGTTATCAAAGGAGAGGTGTTACCAAATAATTGCTTAAGTGTTAGTGCAAACAACTCACACAAGGATATATCTCCAAGTATTGTGTCATCACTATGGGAGCAATGTTCAGCAATGCTCGGTGTAATAGCCTTGATGTGCGCATCTATTGGTTTGTTTATGCATACGGATATTATATATTAAAACGCATAAATTCCAGTGATATCTCGACCATAAACAATCACACATCATGCGTGAAGAATATTGAAGTGACGGCACTTCTTTGTGTTTCGATAATATAATAATATTAAATCACGTAACCAGCACAACATCCCTTTAATCTGTATGCACATATCAGCATCTATAAATGATTCTGTTCAACGATTTATACACAAATCTATTTCCTTTGAGTGCTATCAATTTAAATTCTTCACCAACGAAAATATTCAACAAATATCTTCATTGAATATTGATGGAGATTTCAGTGTTCATGGAAATGAAACACGAGTGGGAGGGGGTAGGTGAGTGCGTGTTGATCCATACGTTACGGTTCATCAATCCTTTCTTACGTTTCCTGATTACCTCGACAACGAGAGAAGTCTCAAATTGAACCGGTGTAGCTGAAAATTACACCTGAACGAAATTTACGCTTTTGGCAAATTGGTTTTGTCTTTAGGTATGCACTGAAACGATTTAGAAAGCAGTGATATTTGCTATTGTGAAGGTATAAATTGCTGGTGCAGTAAGAAAAGGAGTGCAGGCAGGCAGCATCGAAAGACTATCAAATAAAATTTATGGCCATAAAAGCATAAATCGCTCGAAATGTTGACCATATATCAGCATTGCGTTCAATTTCCGTTAGTAGTGCCTTCCTTATAAGCTTGCATTATCAATGCAAAAAGGAAATTCGTTTCGCTCAATCACCTAAAATCATTTCCCTCATCTAATCGAATTGTTCACCGATTTTTGCACTCACAAATCAACCCATTCTTTCCTCTGTCCTTATCTGCCACACATCCAGCCTTCATCGCTATCTCATTCACATTCTATATCCGCAAATCTCGTCCTATCCATATCCGGCCCAGTCTATACATCATACAATTAAGCTTCATTAAATATTTCGCATGTTTGTCTTTTTCGCATAGGGTTCATCATTTTCATTTGTTATCTTCGGATACATATCTCAGAATCAATGAATTTAAATGCATCGTGTGTAAGAATACAACAAAGTATTGATACCAAATAGAAGTTTTCAAGTGGAAAAGAACTGGTGATGAAAATAGTACATACATCTTAGTGCTTCAGCTCTCGATTACATATCCCGTTAAATTCAGCTCTCGGTTTTAGCAGATATCCTCGAACGTGTTCTGAAGATGGCATGCTCCATTTAGAGAGTTGTTTGCGTAGGGGACTTTTGAAAAGATTGAAAATAAATTAGTTGGTCGTAAGAAGCGTAAGTGATGCCACACAAAAGCTTCTCATCATGCATATATTGTTTACTTTTGTTTGATACTTAACGGCATTTTATTGGTGTCATTTAATGCGACCTGATTCACACCAGTTGAAAACGATACTGATATGTGATCGTTCAGCTGCATTGTGCGCGTTTGATTCCTTTCGAAAGCACACCACATCAGTTCAATAACCACCACCAAATCTCAGCTAAACTACAACCTTGTATTTTACCACAGTCAATTAAATGCTTTGAACAGTCAGAAAAGTAAAAGAACCTCTAGCACTGTGATCAACTAATTATCAGACGAACATTATCGAGCAACGTAAACTCAGATATTTTCGATGATTTTATGAAAGAACATTAAGTAAAAATCACGACTTCAAATGCAACCATTTCAAATGCTTTTTGCATTCAAAAATTGCACCAAAACGTATCGATTCAATAAGATGAAACACACCGAATGTGAAGTATTGTTTGTGTGCATTTGTTCTTCATGAAGGAGTTATTTGCAAGACAATGCTCACACTAATGGCTGCTAATTCAAGTAGCTTTTTGATGTATTCCTCGAGGATTTGTTGCTTGCACTCCATATAATTACAGTCTATTTTGAGAGTATTTGCCAGAATTGAGTTCCTTGCCACAAATTAGATCCATCAGGAAGCATTTTTTGACTAATTAGTGGCTGCGTTTATTTCTCCCTGAAGCAACGGTCTGTTCATATTGAGGATAATTTGATCGTTAAATAATGTAACAGGTCAACCCGGAATCACAAATAGTATAATTTTGATTCAGTTCAGAGAAGCAAAACTTCCAAACATGATCGCAAACCTTAACTCATTGCCTAGAATTATCTTAGTTTAGTGGTCGCTTGAAATGTCTGATGCCATAGAAATAATTCATGAATTATGATATGTGGAGTTCGTTTGTCAGTGATAAAAATCGGTTAAAGCAAATGGTGTCGTTTTTTTTTTGCGAGTACCTCAATAAAATGACTAAGGTTTTTTTGGATTAATGAGGTGTGTGATATATTTTATGGATGCGGCTTCTCTTGGAATGCTTGCCGAAAGAGACGGCAATTTCTCGGTCTTTCATTTTCTCATCGGTCTAACTGTAAGAATGTGGTTACGGAACAAAAAGCATAAAAATTGAAAACATCTGTTCAATACTTCAAAAATAACTCGTACCATCTGTTTCAACAATGTTTGCATCCTGCGTTATCAGCATCTGTTTTCGAATATTTGCATTGATTTATTTGATGCTCTTCAAGAACTTTGAATCCATATTAGATTCAGGTGGCCGTTTTGTAAAATAATTGCATTATGCTTCTCGTTCAAATTGTGATTGTCCACTACATTCAGAAGAGATTGTCCGCTACATTCTACTGTCTTATGAAAACATGAAAGAAATGCTGCTCATATTTCTCACAGGAACAGAGCCAGTGATTGAAGCTGCAGATTGAGGAATGAATATTGCATTAGCGGAGCTTATAATAGAGATTTTAACTATTTGGTTTTATCAGCGTGATAATTCGAGGAGTGGAATAACCAATGTTGGTATAAGTCAGTAGTGTTGATGAATTTTATTCAATTTGTATCACATTCAAGTATAATCACATTTATGCGTATTGGAATAGTGACCAATCAGATCATATGGCAATGATATCACAACTTGGGTGGTGTTTTGTTTCGTGAAATGCGATTGACAGTCATGAGCATGATGATCTGTTGAGGTGGACTTGAGAGCGGTAAACATCAAACGTGTATATTTATGTTTAGCTGATTGTTGAATGATTCGACGATCAAACGAATGCAATCAAAACACAGCGCTGTTACCGTGTTTATTCAGGATATAAGAAAGAATTAATCCATTTCGGGTTGTCTGCTGCTGTCACCTTATCGTCGTTATTTATTTCCACTCATTCAGCACAACTAACTACGAATCGACGAACCATCGACCGACCTTAACTATTGCAAATGAATTTGCAGATGAAATATAATAGGAACATAAAATCTTGAAAGACATTAAATCGCAGAAGTCATTAAAAGCGTTAGTAAAGCAAGCAAACCAATAACGATCACTGCATACCGCACATAACCAATAAAGAACATCAAAGCCACACCGACAACAATAATAACCAATAACAGTGCTCAATTGTTTGTCTCTTAAAACCTGAGCGTTCCTTCTTTTCGTCGTTCAATCAACATCCAGTCAACTCATAAAATGCGGCATTCACAATCATGAATTTTCATACTCACTATACCATCGCACTTCACGATTTTAAATATAGTAATTTTTGATGGAATTAAACTTCACATGGGGTTGATTCGAGGTACCCTCTTTGATCACTCGAGTAATTTAAAGCGAAAATGAGGAGAAAGTTTTTCGTAATTTCGGTGATTTGTTGCAACATCGTGAATAACATCTGAAAATTCTCGATAAATTTCTAATGCAGATCAGTGTTTGTCCTAAAAAATACGTTAATCGATTGAAAAATATGCTGGAAATCAAAATTCAAAGTCTTTTCTATTTATCGTACCTCAAAACATTTTCAACGGATAAATGAGAACAGCTAATCAAAGATTACTCATTGATCAGTGTAATGAAGCTGATGAAGTGCAAAATAAAGCATGAAAATCATGTGGAGATATTATTTCGGTGCGCAAGAGCATTTAAAATATTAGCATTAAAAATACTCAATTACAGGTATTTCCGTACCGTGCATGCGATATGAAACGAAAGGGATACGATCGCACTCTTATCGATCACATCGCTGTTGTATTTTTCGATGAACTCGAACCGTTCATCACCGGTTGTGTATCGCTCGATAATCAAGTTAGAACTCTACTATGTTCATTGCTCTTTGACATTACCTATTGCTTTCTTCGTAATCCACAGTTCATGAAAGTGCAACCGGAATCAGTTCTGAAAAGCTTAGAATTATGTTTTTTATTGCCCTAGAGCAGAAATCAACGTGAGTGAATTATCCTACCTGTGAGAACTAACTAATGTAAATCCAAGAAGTAAATCTAACTGGAATCGATGCCCAGTCACGTTATACTCGTCGTAGAGGAGTGATGTTAATTGCAACTCAAAGAAAGATGTTTATGAGAGACGTATGTATNGTATGTATATATGAAACGATTGCGATTGAGTAATAAAAGCAATGAATGCTAAAATGCCATGCCATCGTTTCATCATAATCACAAAAGCAATAAGAATTGTGCTCACTTCTTTCTCAATAACCATCTGCTTTCTGCCATCCCATTAATGAGTCAATCAGGTAAATCATAAGATCGACTGAAACGAATGTCTTTCTAACGATCTGTCCATCTCATCGAACGCTGATATGATATTGTATTAGCGTTAGTATTGTCAGTATTAATGATCCTTCCATCCGAATCACATTAAAAGACTCATTTCGTTGAATATTTATTATCTAACATTGCGCATTCAACTTCACATTAATGACTACAATAAATACCATCTGTCATTTCACATTACCATTGAATGTGCGGAAAGTTTTATGGGAGTATTTGTGATCGAGTTAAACAAGTGGAATAAGTGTGTTCAGTTTTGATACAATATTCTAATTTCACGTCAGGGGAGGAGTATAATCGAGTGTGAGAATTTTAAAATCACCTAACTGGCGTTTTCCTTCGACAATGTTAAAATGTAGAGAAAAATCTTCAATTATCTCGAAGGGTAACCTAAATTGAGAAGGTTCAACATATTGAATGCTCATTCAGTGGCTGATCGCTGAAAGAAGAAAACGCAGTCTTACAATTAGAGAAAGTCTGCAAATTTACTTCCTTACAGATTTGATAAATGAAGTATCGGAATTATTCATATTGAAGATGGAGAATTGCAGGTTCGATTCACTGAAAAGTCTGGTGCGTTGGGTTTGGTTGTGGGACCAGAAAGCCGCGTTGTCGCCCAAATAGACAAGGTAAGTGAAAGATCGCGATTGAGTTAATAGATCGTGCTTATACAGTCTGATGAATTCGTATTTTTACAAAAAAACCATAGCACTTCTGTTTGAGGACCAATTCCGTTTTTGACGGCCCACACTTTTTAAAATTCTGTTCAAGTTTGATAGCGACGACTCTGAACCGCCTCTCGTCGTCATTCATACTCTTTTCGTGGACTTCATCAGTTACTCAGAGTAGCCGTGTATTTCAGTTGCAGCGCGGCAGTATTCCAGTTGTTATTTTGGACGATATTGAAACAAAACGTCTCAAGAACCAACTCGATGAAGCTTCTCAAAGTGGCTCGGTTGTACGATTGTCGTTGGAATATGTTGATCTCAGGCCACAGTACACTTTACGACTACAAGTTCGTTAATAAATTAGTTGATCGATGAGAGAATATTGTGATGAAATGAGTGCTTTCTGATCTTTCAAGATCGCTATTACCTCTGTCAGGCCAACATAAGTTTATCTTTTCAACCAAACGGCATTTCATCATTAATTATGTGAATACTGATTTTTGCCGATGCAGTAGTTCATTTCGCTGTTTGGTGAGTGAATCTGTTTGTTGCTGCTTGAACAAGTGCTTAATTCACTTGGAATTTTCAGGTTTTTAGACCAACGGTCCTGAATATTGGCCTAATAATACTATTGTTTATGCTGATTCTTTTCATAACAGGCCTTGTTTTCATCAAAATTCGTTGGCGACCCAACTCACATCGCGATATTTGGTTGCGTACATTAGCAAGGTATCCTTTCGATGTCATTCAATTGTTCAACTGAACCCCTCAATTCCATCGTCCATGACAAACTTCTTACAACTATTTGTATCAACATGTAAAAGTCATGACGTTCTAAAAGCGACACGAAAAAAGTTTCAAATTGACTTTAGATAACGAGCAAATGAATCAGATATTCTCAGATCAGAAGTCTCTCAGTATTTGCAAAGAATGTATAAACAAGGCTTCAGGTCAGCAGTGAATAAGATGGAAATTCGTAAATTCGAGAAACCAACCCCACAGAATCTGTCATCAATAAATGAAGCAAGAAAAGGACGTGGTCTTTTGTGTTTAACGTCAAAACGGAAATATTTACCTGTGTTTGGATCACTTACGTCGGTGGCACACAGTTGTGCGAGTCAAGTAAACTCTTTCGTTGCATTATTAATACTCGCCATCCAAATTTTCCAATGACATCAAATTTTATTTGCTTTCCGTAAGATATTTGAAAACTGCAAACAATTTAGTTTGTGTGTTGAAATAAAGTTGAGATTCACAGTTAGTTTTGTCATTTTGGAATGTCAGATTGTTTGCTTTCATTGTGATTTTTTTGGCTTACTTTTCTGTTTAGTGGCATTTTTCACATTCAGTCTCTGAACATTGTCACCACCGAAAGTGGTGTTCAGTGCTACTGTTGTCAGCTCGATGACGATAACGTCCTTTTTTGTGAGCGAATGAGGCTGTTGGATCGTTCGATAAGAACTTTTCTTGTGCTGTTGATGAATGAGTATTGCATTTTTAGGAACGATGTAGCATATGCTTGGATGAATACAAGGAAGGTCAAGAGTTACGAGTGCTCTTCTGCGGTCATGAATTTCATCCAAAATGCGTCGACCCGTGGTTACTCAGCAACAGGTATTAATCAGTACATCCATTGTTCTATTCAACTGCTCTGTTTTCGTGCTCAAGAATTCCTTTTAAAAGTAAAATTCTCGCACTTTTAAATTGAAGGTGAAAAGTTGTCAAGTATTTGCGGTCTGAGACAATCCAAAAAACATCTCTTCTGAGTGATTTACTGGAAGTATAAGCGGAATTATTCAACGTTTTTTTTCGAATAACATGATTTCTTTGCAAGTGTTTCTTCCAAAGCAGCAGTCACCAGTTGATGAAATATCCTCGCTTGTTTGTTTCAGACGATGCCCTCTCTGTCAGTACGACATCGTTTATAAGGAGTATCCGAAGGCCGATCCAACCCCTAAAAATAACCGAGCCAGGTGAATACAGATTTTCGAGTGTCTTATCATTGCCATTCAATTTTCGGAGTCATCGAGTGTCCTTCCTTTCATTTGCTCTTAAGTGGAAGAACAGCGTTTCACGGCAATTCTGCTCTCCCTGTTTTCCTTCCACATTCAGTTTGAGTAGTAGTGCTATTAGATGCTTAAGATTCCTTTCAAATTCTCCTGTCATTTAGAAAAACTAGCAGCAAAACCAGGTCGTTTTGATTCATTCAGTCAATTTCAAAAATCATTTGACTGCAGTTCGCTACCGACAGCAGAATGTTCAAACCAGCAACAAGAACTGCCATTACTGTCGCCCGCATCAAGGCCTTCTGCTGATCAAACGGTACCAAGTGCAAATTCGCATTTGCATATTGCAAATGATCTGAAATCATCACTCGAAAGGAATCAACGCTACCGACCCAAGCGAGTGGATGAGGTTGGTTGTTCGGGTCGATATGTCAATCACTAGTGCCGCATCTAGCTGCGCAAGCGTAGTCATAAGGCAATTATTGCAAATTTATGAACGGATGGAAAATATTTAATTCATAGAATTCGTATGCCCCAAATTTTTAGTAGGGATGAATGCCACATGAGATCGTATTAATTGCACCTTAGTAGTTTATTTCTGATAATCCACTAGAGAATAATGGAATTTTATGAAAGCAGACAAGAGCATCGCTGTGTTTCAGCAGCAGTTTGCTCTACCGTATTTATTGCCGAGTAACACAACCCCTCAAGTGTCGCACAGCATCAACCGAGATACACGCAGACGATACGGTCGCGATGAGGGAGCGTTTACGAGTCGCATTTCGCGAAAGTGTGCTCAGCATCGAACCAGATCTCTCGGAGCTCAACAGCGCAGACGTCAGCTGAGGTCAAAACGGTCATCACCAAATGACCACCGCCTTTCCGCACTTCCCAGGGAACAACAGTTGCCTCAGATAGCCGATACGATTTCAGGGTTAGAACATTTTCAGCTATGTGAGGAAATGTTTGCACTGCTTGCGAAACTGTTTAAATTGGTCGAATACTGTTCACTTCAATCAATCGCATACGATTACAGGTACTCATCTGATATCTCATCATATCCAGAATTCGAGACTGATGTTGCTGCTATTGCTACTGCTGAAACGCAACAAGAAGCAGCATTTCCATATTTCTCACTGACTGCCAGCTCAGAATCAAGTCCGTCAACAAGTATGAGAATGACGCGGTTTCGAGTCAACAACAGTCAACAACAACAACGTATTTCTCTATTTCCATTAGTCAACACAGCACCACTCGACAGGATCTCATTCGAAGAATCACATGGCGATATTTGTTGATTTTTTATTTCATTTCGCATTATGCAGCATTTTATTGTCTGTCGCTCTTCAGTTTACTCATTCCACGTTGCATCGGACTGTCCTTTTAACGTTCACAGAATACACGAAAGTCGATGGACGTCTTCATAATCCCTTTCGTTTTATTTCAGCAAAACGAACCAATTAGTCAAAAACTTCAAACGGCTGCATATTGCTATTACGTGCATTATATGACAAATTAATCTTCAGTTATCATTTGCTCAAAGTGTGAAGCGTTCCTCTGCGATAAATTGTTCATATCATGTTTATAGCAACAAAATTTTTGCTATGAACTGATCCACGAAAATGTTTAGCTAACGGCCATACAAATAGAATCATTCCCAAATGAACATGAATGCTACTTATGACATCTGATGAAAACGAATTTATATCTGCGCTCAATTTCTGCTGGTAATACCAGTGATTTAAGTTATTCTTAAATATATTTTCAGTTATTTGTTTATAAAAAATGCCAACGCACTTGACGTATCGCTGTTATTGTTTCCAACATCACAATGTATACAAATGTTTATGCATTTATTTATATGTATCTCCAAACGTATATGTAAATATAGGTGTAATATTTTACTAATTGCTATTCCAATTCCACTTGTAATAATCTCGATCAGGTTGTTATATGAAATGTAAAACTATGGATCAATTGTGCGATGCATACTTTTGGTTGGATCGGTGTGGTGAGAGGAGAGAGGGAGGGTTAAAACGAAATCTAAGTGATCAAATCATCTTTTCAGTACGGCGATATGATTCTGTGAATAATTGCATGGAGTTGGTTTAATCTTTGAATAGTGATTACGAAATGAAATATTCCGAAAACATTTCTCAATAAGGAGTTTCTTATTAACAATAAGATGTAATTATTGAAACACTGACCGAAAGGATCAGTGTGTAGACTATATTCATAATGTGACAATGTATTATATATAAATATATTTATATTGTTTATCGAGTTGTGTGTAAATCTCATCTTTTAAACTGAACATGAATGCGTGAGATGAAATATAAAATTTCGACTTCAAATTTCTTTTGCATAACATAAATAATCATGTAATTCATTTATAAGCACCACAACTCATTGTGTAAAAAATAACGCCTCTAAAAATTCCTTTCATTTCACTGTCAGCACTTCATTAAAGTACACAAGATATCATTGTCCCATTAGTGATCAAATATCTGTTCGGGGATTGGGTAAAGATACGTTTTGAAGTAGAAAGGGTGATACATTCTGAACAATAATAATATCTATTGGGTAACGATGAGGGTGATTTATTCAGAGCAGCCATGGGATCCGACAGACAGTCGATCGGAAAAATCCGACAGTTTCGGTCGGAATTCTGACCGAGCAATTTAGAATGTTGCTCGGAATTCTGACTGTTGGAATGACGAAATGCCAACTCGATCGGATTCCGACCGACCGAAATTTCGCCCAGACTATTTCAGAGTAGAAACATTTCAGTGTGCGAACATTCCGATTCGAGTAGAAACATTCCGATTCGAACACTCTTGTGCTTATGGGGCATTAAGAGAAAGTTTTCGGGCGATGTGCCCTGTGATCAAAAGTGACATGATGAGTTGTACTCCGATTATGAAATCAAGATCAGCTGCTGGCCTCCATTCATTTTTGATGTGCACGAATGACGTATATTCTACATGCAAGTACAGCACGATGTCTGCAACTGCACCATTGTTGCACTGACTTCACCGGCCAGTGCGCCTTTAATGGAGTCACAGACCTACAGAAGATGAAAGGACTGTATTCAACCAATCTATAATCTCTAAGATGCGCTAGTACGAGGAAATACTCCAGTCTGGTGTTGTATTTACTATATGAGCACAATTGTGGACAGAGCGCAGAGGTGACACCATCATTTCATCGATCTAATACGAATTCGGTACGCTGCTAATTGTTGGTCAATACCGCCCGTAATGCTCACTGCACACTCTGTCTAATTTGGTGCATCATTTTCCGCACAGTTCCTCTCAATTAGTCCCATCTTCTGATTTTTCGCACCGAACCGGGTTCGAGATTGTTTGAAGCAGAGCTGACCACCTTATTATCTTCTCGTTTCACCATCTATAATATACGCACCTCATTATTGTTTCTTCCGTATCACCGGTTAACTTTTCATGTTTGTTGGGTGACGTTGTGTAAGAATTTATTCCTCAAATCAGAAAGCTGCTCGCATAAATATCGTCATCACCATTACTCTCACATTGCTCTAGTAGATCATAGCATTCATTTATTGCTTTACTGTAATTGAACAAAAATTAGCTGTAAAACTCTGAAAAAACACGATTCAGATTATCCAAAGAATCGGGAAACCAAAATCGAGGGCAGTAAAGCCCATTATCACTCAATGAAAATGTAACTATGTAAAACATTTGAAGGATATAGGAGAATAGGAAACAGTGAGGACGACATTGGGGCAGAAATTTCACTTGGCCGAAAACGGAATGGTCAGGTAGTCGGGAAACTATATTGAGGAAGCAATGCACAATGAAAGAACCACAATGAAATTCTGCACCAAAAATTAGTACTAATGCACAATGAAATAACCACAATGAAATTCGGCACCAAAAATAACCACACACGCATTCCTTTCCAATAATAACTGTACAATATGATGGATATGATTGCACCTGCAGAAAAGAAATGTCTTTTCGCAAACCGGAAAAATAGCCACCTACCACTTTTAAGTTTCAACAAAGTTTATCCTAAATCGGCTTCTCTGAAAAGCTTTCCGACCTCAGCTCGACCGTGCACTCTAATCGTTTCAACCATCGGGGTTTCGCGACCAGTCGAACAAGAATGATTTTCTAACGAAACGCAACTTCTACGGATTTTCCATGTATAGATTGCAATATGACTCGGTTTAATTGATTCGGTTTTGGAGACATCGCAAATTTGCTTCTTCAACAAATGAAATATATCACAAAGCACAATTCAATCAATTCCCTGAAAATCGTTTTGGTTTGAAGTGCTCAGCACCGATCAGTTTATGTATCACAACTGAGATCTTTTTCAACTATTGCTCAAAATAATCTTGAAACAAGCACTGAGAGTATGCGATCGACTGAAACGATCAAAAATACAAAAATTTTCGGCGAATTTCCCTCTCAAATGAGCATATGTAATTCAACTAATGTCAGTATGCTGCTTCACTGTGCCGGTGGTAATCATCACGTGCCGTAAATGTTCCGTTGTATTCGTCTTAGTTAAGATGATATTCCCTAATTGCAGTCGCATACAATCCATGAATATTATTAAAATTGTGCCTTTACCTTACTAATTCGGTTGACTATTTTCATTCCACCCCGAACATATATTCTCGTAGCGGATGCCTTGACCGAGTTGAAATGAAAGAATGTTCAAATATGAAGTATCATCAGACTAATAACTGAGATATCTTGTTGATTGATGTCTTCAGGCAGAAGTGTGTTATGACGAAGGTCGCATCAAAACGTCGTTTTGACGAAGAATTGGATGTGCAATCGAAAAGATCCAGACTCGAAAACGAGAGCGAAATGGAAACAGTCAATGCATTTGGGTGTGTAACGTGAGTCTATCTAATTCTCGCCAATTGCTAAAGCAATCGTAACTCCGATCGCAAAAATTAGGAGATATTTTGTCTTTCTCAGTGCTTGTTAACATGTTGTTGCTATCCTGATTATTCAATAGTTTTTGTTGTTTGTTCTGAACAAAGGGTATGGAATGTCTATGGGGTGATATAAATGTCATGAGAATGCTTCCTCGCTTTAACAGTTCTGAATGACAGGTTCTAGAACCTGATGAAGCCTTCGATGATTCATGTTCATTGAAAATTTCATTTCAGACACTCATTGACGCTGAGCGACTTTGAGATAGGAAAGCGACTAGGAAAAGGTACGTTCGGATCGGTTTACTTGGTTCGTCTCAAACAAAACGGTTTCATCGTCGCACTTAAGGTGACAACATAATTGCTGATTCCAATTTTGCTGTTCACTGAACTGAACTCTTATTTATTTTCATTATGCATTCGTCCTAGTGGATCTACAAACCGTCGACATATTTACTTCTTTTCTCTCTAAAACTTTCACTACTGCCTGATCGACTTCAGATGATTAAAAAGTCCCAGATTGTCGAGCATAAGATGGAACGTCAGCTGAGGCGAGAAATCGAGATACATTCACGTCTCAGGTATGGAATAATAGATGCATCCTGCCCCACAACATTATTCAAAATCATGAAGTCCATCAATATCAGATTGCTCAGATTGTGTTTCTCAGCACGTAAATGTGACAGATTAAGCAAAAGAAAACAGCATGGATAAACCAAGAACAGTTTTGAAGGCTGCAAGCTTAACAAGAAAACAACGATCAAGCAGCACAGAGTTGCCTTTCTAATGGAAATATTCTATCGGTTTCAGTTTGTGATACATTTCGTCGTAGGATGGCTTAAGTGTCTAAACATCAATCAAACAGTATCGTTTTGAGAATGCTATCGATGTGAATTTGCATTTGTGGAATGGGTCGCAATATTCGTTTGCTGAGTCCATTTCAACTGTTGAATATTCCATTGTTTGCAGACATCACAATATTATACGTTTCTACAATTACTTCGATGATGAAAATCACATCTATATGATTTTGGAATACGCTCTCCAAGGATCTGTGTTCAGTCGACTTTGCAAGACACAACGATTCAGTGAGGATTACGCTGCTCAGGTTCTAATAATGTAATTCTTCTTCCCACTGCATCCATAGATTTTTTAGTATCACATTGGTGCAATGCAGGGTGCGCGATGTTATGGTTTTGTGCATGTTCATTTAGTGNTTGTTAAATGAGCAAAAATCATTTAATGAATCTGATCGGTTGCAAGAACTTCTAGGTTAGGTTCACTTGATGTTCATTCAAAGTGAGGTTATTAGTTGTCAACGGTGATGTTTCTGAATGAACAGTCGAATTTCAGTTGATCGTGCAGTTGGTTGATGCGTTGAAGTATTGCCATAGCAATAACGTAATTCATCGCGATATCAAACCAGAGAATCTTTTACTCGGCTCGGACGGTGAGTTGAAGATGGGCGATTTTGGATGGTCTGTCCACACAGTCACATCACGGTTGGTTCATTCACTAAACCAATTCGTCTGTTTGCACTCCTATACAATGTTGTAAATTCCGCATTGAGAATCACATTCTTCGCCATTTCTCTATAATGCAGTTTCAGTGCCCGTAGTTATTAGATTAACATCTGGATTAATGCTTTATGCTCACCTTTGATAATTATGATCTGTTTTGCCTTCGCTTCTTATAATCATTTGGCTTCGTTAACGACATAACAAAGTTGCACTAAGTGTACTGTCTCAATTGCGTATTTAATTTGGTAGAGTAATAACTACTGGGAAATGAAATTGGAAAGTCAGGCTGCTTGTCTGAAAAAAAGAATTTTCTCTTCCTTTTATAAATCTCAGCAAAAGTTTTCAGCAGAACTTTTTGTGGTACAACAGCTTATCTAGCACCTGAAATAGTTATGAAAAAAGGATACAACGAAAAGGTTTTCTCTCTGATTCGAATCTATTTCTTTCATGTTTCTACCTTATATATCGCTGACAATGCCCTCCCTTGCATGCACGATCACAACAAACGTTCGTTTGAATAGATATCTGATCAAGTTTTGCTTGAGGACAACCCTTGCTGAAGCAAGTCTCTGACATCATGACATTTTCATGCATCGTCGACCATTGATCCTTACTGAACATTTATCTGTTGTATCGTTTGAATGAGTTAGTTCTGTGTAATTTTGGCCGCGGTGTTCAATAGAAAACCAAAGAGGTTATCAATGCTAACTCCTGTCGCACATTTCACGCTAATCGAGCAGTTATTTAAAGGTAGATTTATGGTGTGTGGGTGTGTTGTGCTATGAACTGATCGTCGGACATCCACCGTTCATCAGTGACTCAGTTCAAAACACTTTCCGCCTTATTAAGAGAATTTCATTCGATTTTCCATCACACGTATCGTCTTTAGCGCGTGATCTTATCACGAAGGTAATCAATTCGTTATCCGTTTTAGAGCCTTTTGCAATGTTTATTTTAGTGACAACAGCAGGTTTACTTTTGAGTTACTGAACCGAAAAGAATGAATTCAGTGATTTAAAGAGAACTGCCCATTCAGTTGCTCCAGTCGCAACCGTGGCGTCGAATCTCGTTAGATGACGTAATGGAGCATCCTTGGATATGCCAATCGATTAAAAAAAACACGAATCAATTTGAATCGGTCGCTTACCAGCACTAGACTCAATTATTCACATCCTACCAACTTCCTTCAAGCCTGATCGAACAATTCTGCAGGCTCTATGAATTTTTATTCAACAGTGATAAACTTTAGTTCAAATTTTTTCTGCATACTGTTGTCATAATTCTTTATGAAGTGTTTCTGAAAATGTACTTTTATGTTTGTTTATTTAGAAGTTCTTCGAATTTTTCGTGTTCACATGTTTACACATCGAATTTTTATTTTCAATCTCCTTCATTTTGAAATTAGCATTTCAAGTTTGCTCGTTTTTGAAATTCCTTAACGAATATTTCGAATATTGCAGTTTTGGCTCAGGTTTTAAGATGGTCGCATTTAAGTCACTGCGTTTAAGTATTTGAAAGCTTCATCGCTTCTGTAAAATAATTGTTGACATGCAAATGTTCCGAGGTGTTTTTCTTGCGTATGCTTTTAGAATGCTTTCATGGATCCATTTTTTGAGAAAATACCTTTCATTTAGATGCGTTCGCTTATTAACTGCTGTTTGATGTGTTTTCTGCAGAAAATCCATTTCTATATGAATTTGCTCCACCGTCAAATGTAGCGTTACGAGTTTTGTGATGTTGTTTCAGGTGCCATTGCTGCTGTTTTGTTTTCCTATTGAGAGTATATGTATGACTGTAATTTATTTAATCATATTGATAAACAGATAATGCTATCAAAAACGATTGGTTGTTTTACACACAGCAGATCAGTTGAGTTGATAAAGTAAAGATATACTGAAGATGAACTGACAGCGTTCGACTGGTACCCAACTGCATAACAATAACCGTGATATATCATTGTATTTGAACGTAAATGAAAATGTAAAATAGATGCAGTGACCAGCAGGTGATTTCGAAAAGTTTACACTAGATGTCAGCATTTAATTATAATGGTGATTTTAATTATGTTAGCTCTGGATTTTGGATACGAAATTGGAAAATAAAGTGAACTAACAAGGAAAGAAGCAAAATTAACAACGAAATAGATAGGCTAAAGCTTGCAATTTCGTTAACATTACAGGCATTAAAATTTCATTAACATGGATGATTTCCTCATGAGCTGTGTGAAATGTCATGCTAACTTCATGAGCTGTGTGGAAAGAAGGTTGTGACATTGGTGAGAGTGAGAGGCTTGTGGCTGTAACGAATCACAACCATTATACTCAATTAGGATGTCACACTAAAAGAGCCCATCAGTTGAGAAGGTACTCAACTCGAACATTGCAAATGTTCCTTTTGGCAATTACAGCCGATGATTTGGATAGAGTGACGAGGAAACGATCATGTGGACATACAGACAGTGGCAAAACGCCTATATGACGACCGTTTGCGCGTTATGATTTCGATCGATGCGGCTTGGTTTTATGGGCTTTATGTAAACGGGTGAAGTGTGCTTGAGGTTATGTGTTCCGCCCGCGGTATCTCAAGTTTTCTAAGTCGATTCTCTGCAAGTTTTCATATCTTTTCGATCATTTATGAGAATGCTTCAATTTGGTCTGTTTTTTTTTNTTTTTTTTTCAGGCGGACAAGATGACTCAGTTTTTACCAGATAACTTGTTAGCGTTGTTCGAGGCACGACCGCCATTGCTCTATAAACCTCCTGCAGATGATTTACTCATTGATCGCAAAAGACCGAAGATGTCGGGATTGTCCGAGTATGTGCATCTGTTTGAGGTAACTTTACACGAATTTTGATAATGACCTGCATAGACGTAGTTTTTGAATTTGAATTCGTCAGTTGCAGTTTCAGTAAGATATACTTCTTTGCACGAAGAAACCTGAAAAGGGTGCACACAACTGTGCAATTCAAATGTTACAGAATCGCAAAGATTTCTGCTCACGCTGAGGATTAGTTGATACGTGCTTTTACCAGGACTTACAGATTGACATTAATGAGCTAGCATCCGAAGCCTGATCCAAGGTCTAAGCTAGAGTGCAAGCCATCCTTTGAGCTGATTGTTTCATGAACGGCCGCGCCACTTGTTTGAAAATTAGGAGTGTTCAGTTTATGAATTTTGCTGCGGAGTGGTCTTCCCATCTAAACGATTACATCAAGACCGTAGGAAAGTGAATCATTATTTAGCAGGCATCACTATTACCTTTTTATTCAGGATCCGAAAGACACACCACCGAAGCCAGTTTTCGAGTCGAAGGAGGAGCGTCGTGCGCGTCGTGTAAGTTCATATCCTGTTCGAACTGTACCCGCATAATTCAGTCACTGTCTCATTAAAATTTCATCAATGATTTTGTATTGCTGCTTCAAGGTTCTTCGTATTAAAGTATTTTGTTTGAACTCAACTGAGTATAAGGCGTACTGGAGCACGAGCGAAGGTTTGTACTGGATCCTACTTATGCGTAAATCTCACCATAGAAATGTCTCGCTATCACTAGATAGTTCCCATCATTTCCTGTTACGGTGGGGGTAACGGATAAAAAATAAACCGCATGTTCGATAGTTTTACTATCCATGACAATCTCTTGAATGGTAATCGATGTGTGACTAATTGTTTTTTCAGCGTAAGGAAAAAGAAGAGCTGTTAGCGTATAAAATCGAGCAGGGAATTGCAACGTGTATGTTTTGGCTTTCCTTCTTTTGTTTACTTCAGGTGTTGATTTGGATTACCAGGAGAAAATGATTCGTATATTTAATGATTTATTTATCAGCAATTATAACTCATTACAACTTGGGTCAAAATTTTGTTCAGGTGTTGTCTGTAAGAACAAATTGTCTGTTATACAACTATCCATCGTCATCTTTATTTTACAGGGACCCCAGCTGATAATCCATCCGCAACGCTTGACCCATACAGAACGCTGTTCGTTGCACGCATCGTAAGTGTTTCGTTTTTCTACTGTTTCCACTCACTCTTTATTGCAACCCCAAAGAAATGATTTCCTTACAGTCATCATGTGAATTTTGGGGAATTCATAGAATTTCTGTGTTCACTGGAGGTTACCTACAGTCAGTGAAGTGTTTAATACGTTATTAACAAACTTCTCGATTTGCAAAAAGTTCATTGAAAATCTGGTGAAAATTCATGTATAGTCTTATGATTGAGCATGCTTTGCGAATGAATTGTATTCATTCAGTCATATTGAAAGTTAATAGTGTTCCTATTGAATGATTTGTTTCAGAATTACGAAACTTCTGAGTCAAAGTTGCGGCGCGAATTTGAACAGTTCGGGAAGGTCACAAAGGTTTGTTGTTTCTCTTTTTCTAACAGGATTTTATGTTTTCTGAATCCTTTTTCCTCCTCTCTGTTTGCATTTCGTCATGATCTTTGCTGCCTACCTTCACATTCAGTATAATTCCGATAGGTGAAAATTTGTTGGACTATTCTAGATTTTAATAACCAAATTTTTAACTATTCCAGTTGGTCCTTGTTCAAGATCATAATGGTAAACCACGTGGATATGCCTTCATTGAATATCAGCATAAAGAAAATATGTCTGGTCAGTCGAAAGCATCACATTCACATTTTCGTATGATTTCTTTCCTTTACTTTTCATTTTTAATAATTTTATATCTCTGTTTCATTAATTAGAAGTTTCGTAAAGTTGGTTCACAGTAAAAATGGTCCAGCTCAGTTGATGCTGTAAACAGATGTCATGCTCACACACAGTGTTATCGGTATCATTATTATTTCCCATCAGTTCCACACATCCTTTTCTCATTCCTGATGCTTATACGAACCGAATGTTCTATGCGAATTACGAAGAGTACGCAACTTCGAGCGCTGCATATCACCTCATTCTTCTTTTGATTGTCCCTTGCACACTTGATTAGCTTCAGAAGTATCGGCGAGGTTTGTCTTCTAAAATATCTGCTGCTAGTTTGAAACGGAAAATTCGATTGTTTCCAATTATTGCCAAACTTCCGGTCAGTTGACATTTGTGTGTTTTATCTGTCGTCTGCGTTGGTTTCATATCTCTGTTCGAAAAATACATTCGGTCTTGGCATGTTTTCCCAAAATATGCACATAACGAGGGTAGTCGCTTTTTATGTAAAAACGAGTCTTAAATCCTCGTCACCCCATACTTTCCTCTCTATGCAGTGACTTTGATGGTTGTCCACTGGATGTAGTGCAGCGATTAAGCGCTGATGTTCCTGTATCTCTTTCTCTCTCTCTCTTTATTCGTCATGCAACTAATTGATGTTCGATGGTGAGATCAGCACGGTTATCATTCGCGCACTTACTCATCTGGTTGATACCTGCGTCACATTTCATGTTGCGGATGAGCTATGCGTAAGTTAATCAACACAGGCGAACTATTTGAGCATCACAAAATGGCTGCATTCGTGGTAAAGTGTTTTTATTAATTATTGTTCGGAGTGATTCAGACATTGAAAAGGTAAAAGCAAACTGCGTTTTGAAGTGTTTTAAACTGATCGGTATTTATTTGCAGAAGAGCAGCATCTGCTATTAAAGGCCGTGCCTGTCTCTTGATGCAACCTTCTCTGCACATTTTACACTTGGTTTGTTTGAACATGACTCTGTGCGGTTGCGTTAATTTTGTCATCATCTCCTTTGAAAACTCGATTTTTAGGTGAATTCTGTATGAGTTAAATGTTGACCTTAAGAAATGAATTTGTTTTTTCAAAGCAAAATTTTCCCGGTAGAAAACTCGGCGCACCGCACAGATCGGGTAAGCTCAAACGCGGGGATAATCAAATAACAAACCAGCATTTTCGGTATTTCTGTGGTTTGTTTGCCTATGGTAAGATTCTCTAATCATTGCTTAGCTATTATTTCGATTATTTGGGTAGAGGTAGGCTAAAGATAGAAACTTAGAATGACTTTCTACCAATGTAAATTGAAGGTAAGCAGGTAATAGCTTGAGAATTATTTAGTTGTAGCAATGCGCATGCTAATCTATAATGCGTAGCTCGGATGTAAATTTTGCAACTGACATGAGTAACGAATTTATCGTACGATTAGACGTCAGATGATTTGTTCGAATGATGAGCCGTTCGTTTCGTAGCCAGTTTTGTTCGTTTATATTCTTCGATATTGAATCTTAATGTTAGGAACTCATCAAAACTATCGTTTGATTTAAACAATTCGCTGTTTACATTTCCGCGTCAGTTCCGATCTCTGATGTTTGAATGATCTAGCAGTTTTTGCAACATTTGTTACTGTGTTCCACGATTATTGCGAAGATGGAATTTGAGAGTTGATGATATTCATTCCTGGTTGCTGAACCTTTGAATTGCCTGAACCCTCAACGCTATAAGCGGTTTATTCGAAATTCGTCATCGCCATCTCATAGTGACCTAACATTTGATATAATTTTGAATAGTGCCGTAAACGACAAACGAAAAATGCGGAATGAAAGTGTTGGTGATGCGTACTTTGATGGCTCAAGAAGCCTCTGTAAATGGTTATCAATATGCTGGGATAAAACATTTGTGCAGCCAGTGGTTAGGATCTATAAGGTTGATCTCTCAGATGGAATAGTTCCGGTCAATACACTACAGCATTCCTTGATCGATCCGCGCAGGTCGACTGCACCATGTTGGTGATGCCGTTATAAGACCAAGCGTTTTGCATCTGGGCGCATAGGGTTTTCTGCGTCGTAACAATTAGGTGCAAAAAGCAAAAATGTCGCAATTTTAGGAACGTATGAAAGAAAAGTTCGTTTGAATTTTATTGAAATTTTCGGGTATTAGTCGAGGATTTCTATTAATTAACTATAAGCATTTGAGTAATCGAGCACGTCGGTGGTAACTATTTTGCCTATTATTTTTCAATTTTGTTTTTCGCTTTGTTTTTGAATCTGAAAAGAGTGTAAGTTTATTGTGTCAATTCACGCCGACTGTGGTATGATTTGCTTGCACGCAACGGAGAGCACCTTCGTTCGCCCATTTGCTTAGGTCAGCGTTTCCTTTAATATTTCCTTTGAAATAATCATCTTACTGTTAGTGTTTCGGGAACACGTGTCAGTATTAGACCCCAAAAACCATTTGTCGGAAAAAAACCAACGTTCAAAGGTAAGTGATGAGATACAGCGAACGTATTCATCGTATTGAATCGGTGACGAATTTTAAAAATGTACGAGCAAAGTGCTGCATATTAAGGGTTATTTTTGCGTGTGGAATGTCTTGATATGTGCTCCCTCATCGTAATTTCTTTATTTTGAGTGTGCGTTTGTTAGTTTCAAATATCCTGCCAGATCCGAGTCCCTTCATCATGATAACGTAAGAGCAATTTCTGTTCGACATGATTTCTGTCTGGAATGGCTTTTAAGATGCACACCATCAAGACATTCAGAAATGTGCTCGCTGTTGAGAATTGCATCTGATTTTTGGAAAAAAAGATTAACCGTGATGTGGAGTTTTGTCTTAATACAAATGCACTTTTTTGGTAATATATCTGAAAAGTTTATGTAAAGTGCGTTTTGCTGAATTATACTTAGTTCAAACTGGAAATTGGATGCAATTTTCATCGGAGTTGCGGGGCAGTTCAAGTGAAAACGGGAAAGGAATGACTTTCAGAAGCATACAAAAAAGCGGATGGAATGAAAATTGACGGACGTCGTGTCGTTGTTGATTACGAACGTGGACGAACTCAAAAATCGTGGCTTCCAAGGCGATTGGGTTCGTTTTTTAAATCAATAATGACTCTGCGAGCTAGATAAGCTGCAATTGCATTGAATGCGATAAGGTGTTCATCACAATCTCAGCATTAGTACAATTTCATTAAGTTTGTCTTCATATAGAATTAAGAGATTAAATGTCAGGTGGTGGTAAGGGTGATACTCGACGAACACGTGAATCAAAGGCAGTACTTGAAGCAGCAGCAGCGTTAGAAACTCCTGAGGAGAAAGATCGCGAGCATCGATCATCATCTAGGCATCGATCACGTGATCGTGATAGTCGTGATCGGACTAGTGAACGTGATCGGAATGGCGTTTCATCGAGACGGAGAAGTCGAAGTCGTGACCGCGATCGCGAACGTGATCGTGATCGTGATCGCGATCGTGATAGAGATCGTGACTCAAAAAGGTAATGGCTCACAGTGTCTTGTTCTTCAGCTATTTTCTTAATACTCGCTATCTGTGAAGTCAAATTCCTTTCTTAAAAATCGACATGCGAAATGATCCTTTTCTTTATGAATTGATGAATTTATACTGACTCATATGCATTTAACCTGTGGTCATATTGAATTCGGCGTTGACCGCTTCCAGAACGTCGGGAATCAATATGTGTTCCTTGTTTAGTATCAGATGTGCAGCTGAGATGTTTCATTATACTGATTAAAAGTGAATTCAGACATGACGACTATCGATCGCGTGACGTGCGTAATGGTGGTGATCGTGACCGCGATCGAGATCGGGACCGCGGAGTGGGAGGAGGTGGACCACGAGAACGTGACTATCGCGAAGATCGCGGTCGCAGAAGATACTGATATGAATTGTTTTCAGTTCATTCCCTTTAAGAAAGAAATGTGTAATGTCGTTTATATCCGGGATGTAGAGGTCTTCAATGATTCAAATGACCGGAATGGCAGTACATCCGCTACCAACAAAGCACAGTTCTCTAGCTCAGCATTTATTCTGACTTAGTAGTTCTCTAGCAAATGAACATCCAGCTGCTTCTGAAGTGATCAGTGTATTCATGGAGTGTTTGATATTTTTAGTGTTTGGTCCAGGGATCTCCATAAGAGGAACCATCCAGTTTTGGGTAATTTTGGGGTATTAAAGGGGTAATGGAGGGGATCAAGAAATTAGTTCTGATGTTATGCGTAGAAATAGTAAATTATCGTAGTGGGGGAGGGGAAGGGGGGATGGTGACGGCTTGATAAATCATCAAAGAAGGTAATGGAGCACATGAGCGTGGGTTGGGGACCACTGATTTAGGCGAAGAGTTCTTCCTACGATTTCTCCATTTTCCTTGAACTGAATTCAGGAAATTTAAGAGTATATTTTGCAATATTCAGTTTTGAATCGACAGCTTATTGAATGCATTTCTTACTGATTGTTCGCTCGTTTGAGCGTTTTCTTACATATTTCAACATATCTTTGGGTTTTTCAAAAAATAGGTCAGAGTCAGTCAGAGTGGTTCAGATGAGCTCTGTAAAGTTAATATTAAAGTCCCATGCTTCCAATTCCATTCCGTCTTCTCTTTGAAATGTTCATTTTGACAAAAGTTTTATCCTGTTTTTCATCCTGCGATACTGTTATTTATTTTGGATGATTTTTCATGTTTTTCTTTCAGTTATTTTGATATTGCAAGGTTAGTTTAATGATGAGTCGATTGTTGGTTTCATTGTTTATTATGAAAAGTCACGTTATTCCACGTTTGCTTATTTCATTCGTTCAGTTCTTTTTCGCACAATGAATAGTTCTCCGGAAGAGTTATTACCACTCTGAAAAAGACAAATTTATTTNTATTTTGCAAATATTCTCATTTTGGACCAGACCTTCTTTAAAAGTATTTCATATCTGCACAGGTGTTTTTCTCTACCTTTCATTTTACGTATTCGATTGTTGTTGTTTGTTTATTTTTGTTCGTTACCGTTATTGCAATTATAAAAATTATGTTTCAAAAGCAGTTGATGTTTTTTTGTGCATAAAAGTTGCGTTATGTGCTGTCTCAGAAATGTGAAGTGGTGGTGAATGCCGTGCGCAATCAAGTGAGGATGAACCATAAAAATTATAATTGAATTGGTTTATTTTAGTCTAATGTAATTAAAGCATATACACGATAGAACAGTTACACATCAGACGTTGAAGAGGGAATAATTTCTCGATTGATATTTGGAATATTTGATAGCGCCTTTCATAAATGAAGTGTGAGATTATTTAGTGGCATCATGGATGATTTTACGGTGTGCTGTAAAGCACGTTTGAATTTTACATATCTGAGCAGTGAATTGATTCACACGAGATTACTTCAGTGGAACACCCAATGTCATAAACACATGAATAAGCGTATTGTGAATCTGAGAAGGTATAAACATGAGGTTAAGATGTTTTGTCTTCAGTGGAAGCAATCGCGCTCTTCACCAGAATATTCCCCAGCGAGTTCAATAGATCCAGCATCGTAAAGCTTGTTGGGTCGTGATCCCACTGTTATGTACTCATCCGGAATCATTACACTGACCTTTCGTTGACATGGCTGAAAATTGAACGGTTATTTCAACTGTGAAATGAGTAGTGTGGTGAGAAATTCCATTCCGTCCTGTTTTGTTTGCTCATGATAAGTGATAAAGGCAGTCAGGTGTAGAAGTTCCTTATTCTGTTTAGATGATATCGAGATTCATGCATAAGAATGAGCTTCTCGGAGACATTTTCTCATGCTATTGATCATGGCTGTCACGAGGGTATTCTTTAATACTTGTCCAAATTTACTGATGGATCACTCAATTCGGCAACGGAAGGTCAATGGTAGTTGCTATTATTGCTGAATTAGCAGCGTTTAAAAATGTCAGCCTTTTGCTGTTTGAAATTACTTATCAAGTGTTTTTGATATCATCCAATTCGTATTTTCAAAAGCACTGAAATGAAATGAGTGCGCGAAGTAAATGCGATTCTCGATAGTTCGTGGACGATTCGTTGAACTGCTGAGCAGTCGAACAAATTCAATACTCACCCACCACCAATCTTCACAGTCATGATAAATGTTAAGTTTTGGATCGATCGGTGACATCTCGGCATTGCTTCCAGTGAATTCGAAGTAGCCGTTGACATCTGTTGTTGTCTCACCCATGAAGTCGTCGAAGTCGAGACCTGCAATTGTGAAGGAATTCATGATGAATGCTTGTTAGACTGTGTGGCGTTTTAATGGTAGGATTTATTATAAAAGTCCTACAGATGAGGATGTATCTCGAAGTTCAACAGCTAAATTTAAGAGTGGTAAAACGCAGTGATATGTGAAACTCGTGATTAATTTTGAGTTGCTCATATTTACTGAATTTTCTATAACACACTTTTCGCAAACTGTTGTATTCCGCTGCTCAGTTGTTCTGTTCCATTCTATTCTACGCGTTTTTTCTGAAGTGTCCTATGCTATTCTCTCGGATAGAACAGTTTGACTGGAATAGAAAAGCCACTACTCATGCTAATAGTTTTGAGAAACTTTTTTGTGTGCTGAATGAATAGAAAGCGTTCGAGCCGTGATTCTACTCTTGCTGATTGTCGGCAGGTATCGGAGAATAGGGCATGTTTTGAGTACTGATTACAAATGTACCTCGATCATCGTCATACATTTTCACGAGAACATCAGGTGCTGGCTTTCCATTGCAAAGTAAGATGCCTTTAGCGCCAGCACTCTGTGTTCTGCCTACCAAACCACCGAACGCACCAAACGCATAAGGTATCAGACAGACGAATAATATCGCCGCGTAGATCATCTTTCTAAACTGAGTAAATGTTTTTATTGATGATGTCTTTATCGTTTCATGTGCAATCCATAGTTCGAGTTGATTCCACCACCAAAAAATATTGGCATGTACCGCACAGTAAATTGCAGCGAGCATTTGGTTTAAAGTTAGCATATTAAGAAAAGCTTAGGCAGTCATCAATAGTTGGTGTATTGTTCTATGAAATCTTAAAAGTTGTAAAGTATAGTGGCATATTTTCGCAGCATGCTGGAAGAATGGAGATTGCGAAAGCCATTGCTGCTGAGAATTATTTTTGATTCATTATAAAAGAGCTTGAATTATATTTATAAGCTGAAGAGGCCTTTAAAGGGAAAAGCACTGTTAGAAACGTTTCCGTAGTGAAGAATCGCACGTCATATGTTTTCCCAACAAGGGAGACTGTTGATCTTCTTGTAGCTTTAAAATCCAAAAGCTGTCCTGTTTACTGCCCACAAGAATTTCGGTCTTCTGGCTCAAGATTTGGCTAGAATAGTTTGACGGATTCTGCTGACTGATGTTTCCAAAAATTCGAGGTCTCGCAATGACAGTTAATGATGGTATTGAAATAAGCTATACCATACGGAAATGAACACATAGTGTGGTTTGAAATGCATTTAAACTTCTATCAGAAGGACTTTTGGCCTTCTATCTCATCAAAGCTGAGCCATTTGAACTTTAGTTATGCGCAGGAGTTGAGCCAAGGTCTTATGCACGTCAACATTCTAATGTCACCGCTCTTGAAAACTCCAAGGATGGCTTGAACGAATTCAAAACCGATAAGTATCTCATCAAATTGGCGACGATTCAGCTAGTCATCGAGAGGGGAAGCACTCGCCCAGATTAAAAAGGCAACTTGCAACTTTTTCGTTGTATTTTTATACTACTGTTCGGTCGAGCAACAATCAATTTACTACAGCTTATGTAACAAATGAGAATAACTATATGGGCAACCTTCCATCCAATTCACAGTTTATCAGAACAATTTCGACTGAAATGTAACAATCACGACAATGGGCTTATACGAAGATAGTAGCAATGTTCGCAGTTTTATACTGAGAAAGAATGGGCATAAAATTGTAATCAATATAAAAGTGAACTTTATTTATTCGATTGGCCTAATAAACTCAAACGGAGCTAATGTGAAGAAGGCATATAGCAACAGTGAGCATTGATGAATGTGAACAAAACAATAAACTCGATGATGAAGATGTTATCTCAATTTATAGTTGAAAGCTGCCGTTATCATTGTTGTTGTTGTTGTGCATGTGTAACAGTGAATTGATGGTGTGATTACTGAGATGATTCAAAGGAATCAACGAAATCAGGTGAACGAGTGAATCATTGTGTATTGCTAAGTCGATTGTTACAAAAAATGCGTTATTATTGCTCAATATGCTGCGTTCTCGTCAACACATCAATCACTCTGTGTTATTTTGTGTAATACTTATGTTCCCATAAGATTGTTTCTTGAAGCTGTGATTAAATCCCATCATTCGTCGTCAAGACAATAATTATTGGACAAAAATTTTTTATCCACACTCTCAAAATGTAATGAACATGAATTTCATTCGTTACGTAGATAAACATCAAAAGCGATCAGATTTTTTCCACTTAAATAATGAGCGTTGATTAAAAATACAATGATTCGAAGTTGAATGGTTTCGTTTGCCATGATTAGCTCAAATCTAAAATCAGCCATCAGTCTTCGTCATTTTAGTGGAGACAATCACGAGTTTCACCCTTATAATGACCCGAAAGTTCAATTGTTCCAGCGTCATAGAATTTCTTTGGTCGAGGGCCGTCCGTAATGTAACCATCAGGAATCATAATACTTACTTTGCGTTGACATGGCTAAAATATGAGCTTGGTTTATAAGAGTCCAAATCATATATTCAAAGCAAATGCGCAACTTTCTGTCATTTTGTTTCGGCTGTCTTCAGTGTTGAAACACTTCGGAGCATTTACATACTTCCACAACTTTGATATTTCTCTACAGTTCAGCGGTCAAATGAATATAATAATGCTACTTACCCACCAGCCGTCCTCGCAGTCGTGATAAATATTCAATTTTGGATCAATCGGTGTCATCTCCGCGATGTGACCACTTATTTCGAAGCGGCCATGTGAATCTGTTTTGCCCTCAGCCATCAAATCGTCAAAGTCCATTCCTTAAAATCACGTCAACAATACTCACCTTACTCGTTCTTCGATACTGATGAGCACAGTAAATGGCTTTGACCATCTGAGTCGGTTTGTGTTGTTGTATGATTCACCGTTAAAATTTATTCAGTAATTTCTAGTCGACAGCAGGCCTATCACAAAGTTTTGAGAATCGTATAGCAGTAGATTTTGGATCAATTTGTTGACGGTCATGTCATTCCTTTCTCAGTCCTTTTCTCTGCAGCTCTATCACTTCAGTTCACTAATTACTTTTTCGCATCACATCCCTCGTTGCGTTTCATGCTCTGCTGGCTTTTCGCTGTGCTACTGTATGCCACATGGAGACTGATGTGAATACTCTTCAGGCGGTGCGTTAATTTCTCAATTTATTGCTAAGTCATTACAAAGACTCGAAAGAATCGAAATAATGTCATGTACAGAAAATGGAAGGTTTGTTCCAACATTATGCTAACCAAAGTTCCATTGCAATTGTCACTGCCTTCTAATCCTTGACTGTTTTATTGTCATTGATTTTCTGTGTGCAAATGGAGTGTTGGTAAGAAATTGGTATGAATGGATACCGATTGTTTGTCAACATTTTTATTATGTAGAGAATCAACGTTAACATGCGGTAGTTCAAGGTATGCCGGGACTCTGCTCTACTGAAGGCTACTGCTTGTAGTGGCACAACTGGGTTCAGGCATTTTAAAAGATCATTCAATGATGATTCACGTCGACCGAAACCGTCATCATATCTAGAGAATGACAAAAAAGTGCGAGTTCAAATTACTGTTAACTGGCGGATTATGATCAAACTGATACCCAATGATCCGAGAATTGTTAGTGACAACATTGAGTAGATGGCGATAAATAGAGTAACTGAAAGCGGGTATCTCAAAGATCAGGAAGCTGATTTGATGATGAATCGCACTGCTTGCGCGTTCGAGGATTTTAAAATGATCGCAACCGATTTAGCATACGATCTATTGATGTAACGACTGTTAAATGGCCCACTACAATTCACATGATGCAGTAAAATATTGACAAAAAAATACTGGGATAGTGGGATGGGTAAGATTCTGGCATGCGGTATTTGACGCGGTATTTCGAGTGGTGATTCCCCAAAAATAGCATGCAAATAAATCACAGCAGTTATTCTCATTTACTCGATAGTTTTATCTTCACTTATGGACTGATTAGTACCACTACAATGTACCATTCGTCAAATTCTTGCCTCAATACGAAGTCGGTTAATTAACAAATAACCTCTATCATCATCGTACAGTTTGACAAGTACGTCCGCTGCAGGTTTGCCATTGCAGGTTAAAATGCCTCTAACACCACTGCTCTGAGTTCTTCCAACCAGACCTCCGAAAGCACTCATTGCAGCTGGGATCAGTGCGATCAGCAATATCACTTGGATCGTACGCATTGCCGTTTCTGATCACTTATTTCTAAATAGATGGAAGTCAACATTACGAAACGAGACATTGAGCAGATCCATATTGATATGGAAACGAATCAAGGTAAACTGCTAGTATTGCGAGTAATATTACGAACATTGACTGACGATGAATAAAGACGGATAAATGGTGGATGAGCGTTGTTGCACTCAGTGAAGATCTCTTTTTACATCCGCACCTACTGATTGTATCTTGTGATAACCAATTGAAACGATCCGTTGCAGACAACACCAAAAAATCACACAGCAGACGCTGAACAATAAACCGTAATAAATCTTCAGCAGTTTTTAAATTGATATTTTTGGTTCATTTGCATCAATTTCCCACATGAATCAGCTCAATGTAACGTTCCTGTGAAAGTTGTAAATAAGAAAGTGCCTTTGCTTTGAAACAAGAATGATAACGAATAGCAATGCACCAGAACTAAAATCTAAAATTTAAGTTTGAATAAAAACGGGAAAACAGAAAGAAAAAGAGATCGAATAAACCTTTTGATGTGTGTTCTATTGTGATTCATATGATCCAATTATATCATCCAATTTCAACGTTTCAGCCAGAGTGGAACAGATGGAACGGAAAACGGATATGAAAGAGCAAAGCAGAAGTACAGAGAAAGGTGTTCAAGAGAATAAGAAGAATTCATTATACTGTCAATGATCGATGCGTTTTCCGATAGCATTGTTGCCGAAGCATAATAAATTTTTGCTTTGTAATTAAACACATTTAATGTTGTTCAATTCTTGACTAACAAGTTATTTTAGGTCACAAACTAAGCAATTAATTACATCAATTCACTTGTGGGTCAACCAGCCATTTTGTGTTGATGGGAGACCGTGAATTTTTTGAAACGGTTCCGAAGTGAGCAATATTGGATCGATGATCAGGTGTAGAGCCCGTCAAATCAGTCGATATCACTGTAACACTTTACATCAACGAGACATTATTGCGGAAAGCGATCTGCATTGCTAACAAGAATTCGTTACGAGCAAAATCGTGAATCGGCACTGAGTTACGCATTTTCGAGTAGTGATTTTGTTAGTGCACATGCGCAGTAGCATGGATCTACTTTTATCAGCTTCGCTTATCTATTCGGGAGATTAAACATTCATATCGTGGTTTCTGACTACTGATGTTGTTAGGAAGAAGTCAAATTTGAGTTTTGACAGTCCGTTTTCAAATTGATTACCCGAACATTGTGCCCAAGGACGTTTTGCCTAAGGACAGTTTGCCTATCAGGCAAAATATCCATTAAAAAATCATCCGTTAGACAATGCGTCTTTAAACAAACTGTCGTTAGGCAAAACGTTTTTAGGCAAATTGTCCGGTCACGGATGGATTCAACTATTTTTTGAGGAGACGATTCCACGTATCAGAGATGCGAGCAGTAAATTTGCACTTTTCAGTGAACGGGAATGAATGGACAGTTGATTGATTCTTTAAGGATGAATTCTAACTATGCTATTGACTCCTTCAAGTAACGCGGTGAGATCAATATCAGTGGTTATGACTTGATTTATAAGCCAACAATAGATCATTTTTTTCAACTCCGATGATCAGTGTACCAATCACGAAGGCTCTAGGTCTTCTCCTATGGGGTATGTTTGTTGAAGCACATCTTAGGAAAGTTCTTCGACTGAAACATCGTTGAATGTCTCTAATGAGGATGACGCCAACAGTTGTTTTAGGCAAATCTATTGAAGAACATTAGTCGAGGATGATTTCAGCGAATGCGCTTATTTTATTTATCGTTTTGCCGTTTTCATGATATCGAGCATCACCTATCGGTAAACAGCTGTTGTATGTTGTGTCTGTGTATACGCCAAACAAATGACCAGCAATTACAAAGACTCTATTCGGTAAACTGGCGTTTGAAACTACGACTGAGCATAAACATCACGCCAACTCAATATCCTGCGGCAAAATACTCCTTGCCAAGTTATTGTGTTGATCATTTTAGTGATTTGGTAGAGGTACTTAAAGAGTCTTGCACCGAAAATTTTATCCACAGCATGTGCTTTGCAAGCGAACAATTTGATTCGATGACCTGGTGCGAACAACATATGCTATAAATTATTAAGAGGAAAATTTATTAAGATAAACCTTTTCATGAATCAAGAATTTCATTACATTATTCTAGAACTATCAAATGTTTCCGTCGCTTCAGTCACTCCATCGATTAGTGTTGTTGAATGTTCTTCTCACTTCCTTCTGTGTAAGCAATCACGACTCTCACCAGGAAATTTTCCGGCCAGTTCAAGTGTACCAGCATCGTAAATTTTCTTTGGTCTCGCGCCATCACTTACAAATCCATCAGGTAGCATAATTGTCACTTTACGTTGACATGGCTGAAAGGATTCTCGTGACAAAATTGTTCATACGTCTTGGATCTATATATTCTGCATTCATCTTTTTTCGATCATCCTTGTTATCAATGCATACCGATGATCTGTTTTCACTAAATAATTTGTTTTCTTTATTTATTCAGCACGAAGATCTTTTAAAAAATGTATGCAGGAAAATATGAATTACAAAATGAGTGTAGGAGACACTTATCTATTTTGTGTATTAGTAATATACAGAATCAAAATAACGTGATCGCTATCATTTTACTTTCTTCAAACGTTGTCTCGTTCGACTTTTAAAGTTTGAAAGCTACAACTATAGGTGAATGCTATAAGGAAAACTGAATTGGTTCTGAATCCAGTGTTGCGCTTCATTGAATTTACGTTGATATCAGTGCGAAATTACACAATTTCTGAACACTGATATCAAATCGTACCACTTAGCGAGAATAAACAGCTGTTTAGAATTCGGATATTCATTCTTGTTGTATTGCAACTGTATGATTCTTTTTTAAACAGTATGTAGCACTTACCTTCCATCCATCATTGCAGTCGTGATATATGTTGATTTTCGGGTCAATTGTTGACATTTCAGCATTACTTCCGCTCACTTCAAAATAACCGTTCTGATCTGTCGTTGCCTCTCCCATTAGATCATCCATGTCAACTCCTACAAACCATGGAATAAAACAGTCGGAATGGGGGATCAGTGAGAAGTTCGCAGATGCCATTCGAATTTTCCATACGGGTATTTTTCATTTATTCGCATGTTTATCTGAACCGTTTTCATTTATTTGTGTCGCGGAAAAGATGAACAATTTGACTCTCCAAAATTCACTTATTTATCTAGCAATAGAAAACGGAAAATAATTACACAATGTAAGTGAGTTCAGTGCCAGAGAAGGCTTCATATGCAATCGNAGATAACTGAAATGTTAATTGAAGGAAGGTAATCTTGAAAATCTAAAATGATTTTATACCTCTATCGTCATCGTAGAGTTTCACCTGCACACCTCTCGCAGGTTTACCGTTACATTTAAGAATTCCTTTAGCTGCAGAACTTTGTGTTCGACCGATCAATCCTCCGAGCGCACAGAATGCAACCGGCAGACAAATGAGCAGCAATAGTGATTTAATCATTTTGTGCCTTTAATGATCAGCACCGATTTTGACATACAAATGCGAGAAAAAGATGAATTTTGCTGCGAACGACTCGATGAAATTGCGCATCCCGTATTCGTAAGTTCAAGCCATGAATTAATTCTACGATGGTTTTTCTACGTACAAACTGCTCATCAATCAATATGCGAGATAACTGCCAGGCCTCTTGAAAGTATTAAAGGTGGTACTGAACGATTAGGGAGTGGAATCTCTAGGTAGACTGTTTGTTCGTGAAAGGATCACTGCTCGTTGCATGATAAGAATCATAATTTCGAGCTCTCAGACTGATGTATTTTCTGGATGAGAAAGAAATACGCGAACGTTTTTTGCTGTTCACCACTGAGTCACATAAAGGCGTAAAGGGGATCGGATGAATAAAAGGTATCGAATGAAAATAGGAGCAAGCCGTAGGGGAATAATGAAATAGCAAAATGATTGTGGTCAGGAAGTGTGATCAACGTTTACGAAATTCTACGATGACGGTTGCGAAACTATGAGCGAATTGATGAAACAACGATGATTGTAATCGGAAACTGAACGAATAAATGTTGAGAATAATAGCAGAAATATTCGATTGCGACGAGCGATTAACTGAACAGCTCGTCGTTGAGATTGTTGTGATTGCGAGTGGAATGGTATCGGAACAGATGCGCTCAAGAGTGAAACTATTCATCACTTTTATCAACAGCAAATGTTTTTGTTTATGAAGCATTGTGATTTTCACTGAAGCGATCGAATGAACCGTTGAACACGATACTTTGTTTACGAACTAACTTCGGCTCTCAATGCAAGTTTCAGTCGAGAATATGCTATGTGCCAGATTGAATTTCAGGGATGAACCACACTTATCAGCTCGGTTTCCATGAGTTCTTTACAGAATTATCATTCGGTCGCTTCTTCTTCTGACGAATTATGTCATCAGTGTGGCCGCTATTACAACTAACTCGTTCATATGTGGCATTCATTGACGCTGACTTCAAATACCTAGATTGGACCACAAATATGCTGGGAGAGAAATTTTGCGATGTTCACTTCCCCATTCTCCAGTTTAGTGAATATTTGGGAGGGAAAAATTCATATCTCAGTTTTCAGTTCGACCGAAAAACTCTTATGGGTCGCTGAGGATTAGTTGTGTCCAACTTGAAAAAATTCACTCAGCCTCGGTTAAGCGTTCTTAAAAATTTCGTCTCCGGCTCCATCTCAGAAAGTTGCTCTGTTACGGGAAGCAACTCCTACGGAAAGCAATCGCAAAAACTATCGTGACGATCGTAGCCCCAGCTACTGAATGCTGCGGAGCTTGGGCATTAGTGCTCATTATCAGGAAGCTTGAAGTTTGCTCTCACGGCTAGCATTTAGGGCTTCCCTCAACGCAGTCAGCATTGTTTGCTGAAAACTGGGGACTCACTGACTGCTAGCCACTCATTGTTGCGGTGTAACTTCTGCAAAAGGACTAATGTAACCTGTTGCAATCTTCAGGAGGAACTGAAGCTGGCCTTCATTATATATTTCCTTCGTATTGAAATCTTCAAATTTCTTACACTTCTCTCCTCCTCACAATTTAATAACAATTTATAATCATTCTATAACATCCATAATCATTCGATAACAAAGCATTCATCAAATCATTCAATGAAATAATGAACATTATCACGGTATTGAAATATTATGCTTATGATAATAAAACATTATTATAAACACAAATATCGTATTGCAGTTCATAACGTGAGAAGGGTATCTCGCCATCAGTAATAAATTCACTCGGAATCTCGACAACTTCATCTGGATAGCACTGAAATTGATAAATGCGCTGAGGATATGATGAAAAATTGTCTCATTATCAGTGAAAAACGAAGTCACCACTGCTTTGCGTTGGAAAACGGAATAATAGCTGAGGATCCGAAAATGTTTTGTTTAATTTCAGCTGCATAATCTCATAATACTGAAGCATGTTGATGTCCAAGATGCTAAGAGAAATTTCCCATTCACTTGGTGGGTGAATTGAGGCGACGGAACAAGTCATTTTTCAAATAGAGTGACTATCCTCATACCGCTTCGCTATCCCAACATTTCACGTAGATTGCAAGATGAGGCTCAATGGTAGTGTACTCATCAGTTGAACCAATCAGTGTGAATAAGCCGTTCTGATCAGTATTTGTCATCGCCATAAGGTCATCACTGACAACTGAAAAATTACTCATGACATGACATTCTTTCATGATAAGTCACGTTAAACAATGATTTTGTTTATCAAAATTTTCGGTCTGGATATATTACATGGTCTGTTAAGCTCACTTTATCTAAACCATCTTCAAATCATTCACTATTCCTCCCTCAGTGGACTGAAAATCATTTTTTTATTTCATCCAACTGATCCATTATTTTGCTCCATAAATCTATCATGAACAGTGAAAATCATCAACTTGCGATAAACTCCCAAAGATGATTTAATGCGCCTTCAGGTGAAATAAGAAAACGGAAGGCGCTCGCGCACTCATATCGTAGTCCCAAAGAATGAGAGTGACTCCAGCTGCAGGTTTTCCGTTACAAAATAAGCGTCCAGTCACCGCAACACTTTGTTCTCGGCAACGGATGAAAACGCAGAAGCAGAGCAACACCAGAGTTATCGATATTGTCGCAGTCATTTGCTGATCTTTCGAACAACACTCGTTGAAAGTGATGTCTCCAACTAGCAGTGAATCACGCGCCGTTGAGGATAAAACTGGAAATGAGTTTCAGTTGAACTCGTTCCGAAATTCTTGGAAGTGACATTGATGTTGCATTATGTACAGCGATTGTCATTTTCATTTAAGAAAATGACATGAGCGAATTCAACATCCAAAATGTCAAAATCTCATGAAGTTATTTCTATGTAGGACACATCCTATGTCTTCTCTCGCAGTGTTTTTCCAACTTCATGATTCACTTTTAATCATCAGGTTCCTTCCATAGCATTTTGCTTATATATGCAGAACTATCTACTGAGAGTGCATTAAATCAATGTGTTTTCGGAATCTCCTGAAAGCATTGAGATTTCCTACTCATTCTCAGTAATAATGGAGGTGGGGTTGTAGACTGTTGAGAAAGCAAGTTTGAATCATTGCTTGTTGAAAATGAAACAAACGTGTGAAAATTTTGAACGGCACATCCGGTATGAATCATCAGGGCATAATAGTATGTAGCTCTCCTCAACTTATGGACATTAGGGTTTTCGCAGCACTCGTACCTTTTTCAAGCGAGCGTTTGTACGTGCCTAGGCATTTCTTTACAGCATTCCTCGCAAGTCGGAAGTTTCACCTCAGAGTATCCAAAGATCTAAATTCAATCACCGATTGCGAATGTTCCTACAGCGAATCAATGAGTCTTTTACATGCAAGCAGAGCATTTGACCGCATTCAGCATTTATTCACGTTAAAACGTGCGTCGCCGCGTCTCTTCTGATAGTGTCTACAAAAGGACAATTCTAGGTAACAGAGTATGGTGTTGTCTAGAAGGAGACGAGAGTGCACGAGGTGATACGGATATGCTCGACAAAACAATGCAAGCAATGTAAACAGCAACTTTGAAATGACTGGAAACGCAATAAATTGAAACGAAGTAAGAGTAACGCTCGATGGATCATGGTCTGATGTTGAGTACAGTAAATTAATATTCCAGTGATTGCAGAACATCAATTCTGGTCACACACCAAAAATTCAAGTCAGAACCTTATCTGACTACAGCTGGCGACTTTCCCCCAGGAATGTGGTAAATCTGAGAAATAGGCAATGAAATATGAACAAAAATACAATGATCCGTTTACACAAAAATCAATCAAAATACTGACAATGAGTAGTTTTTGTGACACACGTGCTGTCTTCCAAGAAAGTAAATTGAAAGCTGCTTTCTGAGACCGAGTGGTAAATAGTAAGTGTCTAAGAGTGGACATGTTTCCTATGAAATGATAAAATCATGTTAAAATCAAGCAATGCAAATCAAGTGATTCAACAGCAATAATCATCGAAACATATCTGACGAAAATACTTGATGAAAAACACAACTAAAATTCACTTTCATTCAGCATGGCATTTTCCAAGCAATCTCATTTCGTAATCATCTATTTGAGTGAAGCCGGCATTTATATTCCGAATGGAACATATCAAGATATCAGTGTAGTCGATATCAATGTTTTTTTTCAAATATCCTTTAACATTTCTCATGCACTTTATTGCATCTGCCAATGCACTTACGCTTCCTCGATATGATGTTGTCGAAGTTCCCTCTGACGTGATTTCTCATGAAATAGCTGCCAGCGAGATCACCACGTCATATTTGTGCGTTTCGAGTAATCTTTTGACTTCATCAAGTGAATAAACAACATTTCGATGATCAAACATCCATAGTGTGAAGTAAAGTTCACAATCTACGACAGTGAAAACTCAATCATCATATCACATCAGTAACCTTCGATGGTAACGTGGGCTCCATAAAGCGTTCCACGATCATTTTCCTTTCTGATGGTTCCTTCATTGAAGCACATCAGCTGTTTAAAAGCTTCAATTTCACAATTTAGTTCGTTCAAGTAAACGATGCATTTGCACTTAGCTTTTGCTGAGGAAATTGCTGATGAATAAAAAAGAAATATTCATATTATCGGTGTCATACGTCACAAAATGTTTTGACTGTTGCTTTGCCGAGCGTTATTATTTAGTGGTTTATTGAGTAAAGTTTCAGTTCTTAAATATGTCTACTGCATACAACGCCTTCTCAGTTATCATTCAAACTGATCAGCGAATGTCTGATATGTTCAATATAAAGGTGTTTCTTTTCACACGCTTCCGGTTTGCGTGCAACATGAAAGAAGTGCAGTGCGATGTACATTTACGAATGCATCTAGCTCATAGCAGTTTCGGAGACATGTGCATTTTCTACGTAAAATAAATGTGCAAATTGTTTGATTTCTTCTCCACATTGTGCAGATAAGATAGCATCTGTTTGTTGCAGGTTAA